GTTGGTGCGCACAATCGGCGGGCCGTAGCGGATCAAGCCCGACACACCACTGAGCTGAACTCAGTCGGTGGGCAAAGATCCTCGGAGACTACGGTCCTGCATACCGATGTCCCACCACTCGGTGGATCGCAGCCAGTCGTAGCCCTACACACCGCCTGATTACTCAGGTCGGTGGACTACAACCTTCCTCGGCTTGTTGGCCCCATACCGCCTGGCACATCCCGGTCGGTGGGTCATATCACCGAGGCCCATGTGGACCTTCAGTCCTATACATAATCTTTATATACCTGACCGGTCTCAACCAGCCTGGTTAACAATTGGGATGGTTCTCAACCCATTCAACTGCCCGTATAGTGGACCTCAGTCCTATATCATATCAATATCCCTGACCGATCTTAACCGGCCTAGTTAACAGTTGGGATGGTTCTCAGCCCATTCAACTGCCTGTATAGCCCAATTGGTCTTAACCAAGTTGGGGTCATGCATCACGTAACACACAATAGCACATAATGACACATTGTTCACATAGGGAAGGGGGAACATATATTTAAGCTTACATGTGATCATTCACATTCTAAGAATAGTTCCTAAGGGCTCATATAACTTCCACCTAGGTCCACGGGTTACCAATTCAACTAGCATGCAATTCCTAAGACTCGTTTAACCTACGAATGGTACCCGAAATTCCAGACTAGACTCAGGCATGACAAACGGGGTCCGTTGGGACACCATGGGGAACGGGGAACATCAAACGGGGAAGCCGGGGACCTGAGGTGGGGTGTGGACCAGCGGGTAGCAGGTGGGTGGGGGTCACCCGCCGGCTGCCCGCCAGTGGGCGCTGTTTCGGGCAGCGGGTAGCCGGCTGCCCGGTGGCTGCCCGGTAGGTGGTGGGTTCCCCCACCCCCCACCTACCCCCCACTGACTCATTCATCACAAATTCGTCCCGGGATCCTTTGTGGAACCCGAAACCATGCTTAGACACTTTTAAACGCAAATAACGACATCACATAAGCAATTAATGGATCAAAAGCAATAATCATGTAGGACTTATCCTATTATGACTTCTAAATATAAACAACACCCGAACATTCGAATTCCCACCCAAATATAAATCAAGAACATCCTCAATACAAATTCCCAATCCAACCTAGGGCTCTAATCCCACCCAAATCATCAAGAATATATTTTATTCTTAACATCAAGAAAATATCAAGATTCGTCAAGAATCATCATATCATAATCAAGAACTTCTTTTTAACATCAAGGTCATCAAGATTCCCAAGAAAGCATATAAATCATCTTATCAATCATAATTATCATAGAAGAAATCAATCAAGACACAAGAATATAGAGGGAGGCCAAGGAAAGAGATTATAGCGAAGAAAATAGGTTTTGTTGAGACATGGGTTACCTCTTAGCCTTAATTAATTTCCTTGGCTATGAAGGGTCTTTCTTTAAGATTTCTCCTTTCTTGATTTCTACTACGGGAGTTCTTGGAACTTTCTTGTGTGGTGAGGGATTATTTGTGGTCTGTGTTCTAGGTGCCTTCTATGTCCCTATTTATATAATTAAGAGTCCTAATTATGGTCTAAGTGGCATGGATTTACTAATTCTATTCCTTATAGGACTAAGGGGTTGGCTTTAGGGATAAGGGCCCATGGACCATGGTGGACCATATTAATTAATTAAAGAGAATCCTAACCATAATCTGAATAGTAAAGGTATACTTTCTTTATTCCTAATAGGCTTATGACTCTAGTTTAGGCAAGGGTCCATGATCCGTGGTGGACCATGTTTAATTAATTAAAGGGATTTCTAATCAAATTAAATCCTTTTTAATTATTCTTAATGGAATTAATTAAATAATTAATTCAGGATTAAGGGCCGTAACACGGGGTGTTACACTCTCCCCCCCCCCCCCCCCCTTACAAGAAGCTTCGTCCCCGAAGCTTAGAAATCATTTTGGGGTAAAGAGCGCGAATTAGTATAGTAGTTCATAAGGAAAGTATTATATGGGAAATATATACACATACACATATAAATTCACTGGGTTTGAGCCTAACTAAAATGCATCAAATAACAAGGTCATGAATATGCAACATACAATATGTAAGTTTTACGGGTGACTAATACATAACATAGGAGTCTTACACATGGCATGTTCTTTAATTAATTATTTTATAATGATTTAACATATAGGATCGCAAGTTGTGCTGATCATGTAATTATTTATGTACCTAAATGAGAGGAAAATATTATGCGGTGCAGATTCGGTTAGTCACATAATTATTATAAAGTATATATGCACATATATCAACATAGGCGAACCTCATTTACGAATGGATGCAGGTGTTTAATTATGTAGTGTAGCATGTTGTGATCCTAGATGCCATATATGTCGGACCTATGCCTAATCTTTGTGCTTTAGCAGTTATACCAAATATTCACAGTTACGAAATAACAAGCCTAACATGTATGATAATTAGCTATTTATGTTATATGCGAAACCTGCAAGTTGGCATGCTTATATGTGTTCAATCGTAATTATGCTAAATATGCAATTTCTTAAGTATATAGGCATAGAGTGTGAAGGCATGTGGGCCTATTTTAAGTCTTAAATAATCGCTAGTCCCATGGAATCACAAGGCACATATATGTATTATTCCACATGTTAGTCTAGTGCATGATTTAACAATTAAATTTACGTGCTTAATATCATTGCATAACCAAACTTTTGTCATATAAATTCAGGAGGGTCGTAAATCATATAACAATATTATTTAAATAGCAAAATATAGATTCTGAGGAAAAGATTGTAAGTAGTTAAGAGGAAGGCTCTTGCTTTTTATGGGGTAAATAAATTCTGGGGAGACAATAGAATTAGGATCTTTATTTTGTACATCATGGGTAACGGTGGGTGATCACATAACAAGTATTGACACTTATATGCAGATTGCTTGTAATCAATAATATTGTATATATGTATAGTGGGACGCCTTATAACATACTGTTTTTGTCTAACGTGCTTTGTATATATACATGAATGCGTGTAAGTGTGTATTTTACGTAAACATGTGAGCTATGTGATTTGACATGTAATGCACAATGTAAATTTCAACCTATAGTTTGGACCATGCAATTTGCATACAAATATTTTAGAAATTACGAGTAAGATAGCCTAGGTTCACAAGTACTAGAGGTTCTATCTTGAGAATTTAATCGCACAAGCACTTAGGAAAATTAGTTTTATCTTGGTGGTAATTAGATTTTAGGTAGGCATAAATCTTACCTCTAGAAGCCCGGGATACCTAAATAACTTTAGAGTTGAAGACCCTTGGTTGCTAATTCCTAAATCAATTGATGACCTGATGATGAGACTAAAGTTTTTAATTATTTAGGGAAGGTAGGAGTGTTAACAGGGTGGTCATGCGAGGGGGAAAAGTAGAATTAGGGCTACCCCAGGATATGTGTATATATATGTATATATATAATAGTGATGTAATTTGTACGGAATGATATTTCAGGGTTAGGATATGCTAAGGGCAAGCTTATAGGTGTGCGTAAGATTATTGTAGCTAGGGTGCATGTGTATGGTTTGGGGGCTAGGGATTTATTGTATATAATGTAACAATTTATATGAATACGTATGAAGAGGGGAAGATGTTCTATAGGCTCACAAGTTTATACACACACACACACACACACACACACACACACACACACACATATATATATATATATATATATATATATATATATATATATATATATATATAGATTTAAGCGTATAGGGACGTACCGTACATGACGCAACCATTTTTAAGATTATGCAAGGTGATTTAGGATTAGGGTGCAATAAAAATGAAAATAATAATAATAATAATAATAATAATAATAATAATAATAATAATAATAATAATAATAATAATAGTAATAATAATAATAATAATAATAATAATAATAATAGTAATAATAATAATAATAGTAATAATAATAATAATAATAATAATAATAGTAATAATAATAATAATAGTAATAATAGTAATAATAGTAATAATAGTAATAATAGTAATAATAATAGTAATAATAATAGTAATAATAGTAATAATAGTAATAATAGTAATAATAGTAATAATAATAATAATAATAATAATAATAATAATAATAATAATAATAATAACAATTTGGTGTAAGTGTAGCATATGAATGTAATTGGGGTTTACTACATATTTTGGATATATATATATATATATATATATATATATATATATATATATATATATATATATGATAGGAGTTTTAGGGGAATATATCTAGAATAGTAGTGATGTACTTATTTATGTATAAATGTTTGTTTAGGGGGGTCCTTATCTTAGTGGTAAAGGGTCCTAAACAAGGTATGGGAAGCTCGTGGTCTATTATGCAACATGGACCAAGGTCTAAAGGGATAGTTTTAAGATAGTTTGGGGGCGCAATATATTTTTTCAAGGATAATTTCTAGATGACCACTTGTTTTAGGTTTCTACCGGTTTCACTCAGATTGAATTTCGGGTCGAAACTTAATACACAATGTATCCGAGGGTTTAGATTTCTAGAAATAGGATCAGTCCCTATAGTTTCTATGTGACATATAAACAAATCAATTAGGAAGATAATTCGATTTTCATGTTCAAGCATTAGATTGTTATTTATACGTTTAAACACATAGGAAGTATCAAGGGAGACGCACAAAGGCACAATGGGTCAATAAAAATGAGAAGTCAAGAAAACATACCGGACCAGTGGGCGCGAGGTGGGCGGTCGACCGCCTGTCAAGTCCCCACTGGAATGTGGCAGTGGGCACGTGGTGGGTGGTCGACCTCCTGCCAAGGCCCCACTGGAACGTGACTGTGAAGGAGGAATCACTTCGGAAAAAGCCCCGAGAATGCACAATTATAAGTTTCAAGGAATTCCATACTTATGTGAACAACGAAAGGGGTATGGAAAACTCAAGGGATCACTTTATTATAATACTAATGAGGAATATGGGAGACTTCAACTAGATATCATAAGGATCCTACGCCTCATTCTTCCCCTTCTTAATTAAAGCTATGTTCCCCAGAATTTCCCTCCATGCAACTCATGTAAGTACTTATCGGGTTATTAGTGAGTTAACTATATTGGTCGATTATGATTAGGACAAGTGAGCTCTTATAGGCCGAATAAAATTACTAAAAAAATACTTTATCAAGTAATGGATATCCAAATAATGCATGTTTGATCAAATAGTTAAGCAATAGTATGCAATTCCTAACTTGGTCTAAAAATCAATTAGGAACATATGCTTATGCAAATGAACAAGTATGGTAATCAAAGAGTGATAAGCAACAAAGTAGGTAAAAGCATGCAAGGACATCACAAAATTTCTAGGGTAAGTATGTGGAATGAAGAGTTAATGTGTTGTACCCTTACCTTGATGTGATAAGCGAAGGGGGAAATTCTTTAAATTAGTGAGGGATAAAGTGAGGGGAGGTTATGTGATGATAGGTAGGCTCACAATTTCATTGCGCGTCCTAAGATTCCTAAATCCTATGTTTCTAAATACCTAGAGTTCAAGCCTAATGTCCTAAAGTCTGGTCTTACGAGTCTTATCCTAGGGTCAAACTTAGGCTCTGATACCAACTGTAACACCCCGAAATTTTGAAAACTTTTAAGACTTATAAAATAAAGGTAAATTCTCATTAAATCCCAAAACATAATATAATAGAGTACGGGGTGCTATGCCACACCTGAGCTAGAGAACTCAGGTGCACATGCCAACTAACTAATATTGTGAATCTGTTCAAATCTGTGCACAGACCCTGTTCAAATCTGTTTAAATCTGTTCAATTGTGAATCTGTCTGCTCTTTGTCTGTCAGCTTCCAGTGCATCCAACAACTCTGAAAATTTTTCACCCCATTTTTTCTCATTCTTTTCGGCAGAATATTGCAGCACCTTGGTGATATTCTTTTGTTCATCGTTCATACTTCTCATTTGATTGAATAAATTCTCATGTGCATCTCTAGCTATATCACCTTTGAGTTCTATCACCTTTGCAATCTGTGTGCTGATTTCTTCCTGACATTCATCCACTTTGAGAAATATAGAGCTCAACAATCTTTCTTCATCTTCCCTGTTTCTTTTAGTCAGACTTTTCTTCAAGTTAAGAATTTGTTTATCAAATTCTGCATGTTTATGATGAATGGAACTTGTAACGATTTGCATTTATCCTTTCTCGACTTGATTTTCCATGTCTAGATCATTATCAACACTGGTCTCAGATGATTTTGATATGACAACTTTCCTTCTTTTTGTTGATGGAGTCGGTTCTTCTTCTTGAGTATCCATTAATTTTTCAGAAGATTGAATGTCTGCTTCAACCACAGAATTTTGATGTTCAGGAATTTCTTTGGCTGGAAAATGAGATACAGTAACTGAAAATGGGGTGACTTGTTGATTATTGACTGCAAGATCTTCTTAGACCGTAGTGTAACACCCCGAAAGTTTAAAAAACTTTTAAGACTTATAAAATAAAGGTAAATTCTCATTAAATCCCAAAACATAATATAATAGAGTACGGGGTGCTATGCCACACCTGAGCTAGAGAACTCAGGTGCACAGGCTAACTAACTAATATCCTCAATAATGTAAATACATGAGCATGGCACGCAGGCCGAAAGGGAAACTATCTACTCTACGCTCCAAATCTCTAGCGTGCTCCAGTGTCTACTCCTCTGTGCCTAAAAGCCAAATATATCTGTTCAGCGAGAGATGCTGGTAACCCACTCCAACGCGTTGAAATACAATATAGGTATATATATAGATATAGATATAGGAAAACCATTTTGAAGCAGGAAGATATATACTTAGGAGACTCTAGCTTTAAAACCGGGAATAGACTCAGCAAATAGGGACAAGCACATTAATCAATGATAAGCGGTTAAGTAGAGATAACATCATAAGGAATATGCATCTAAGGTCACAGATCACTTTTCAATTCAAACACATCATCATTCAATCATCATTTATATCACATAATCATCGATGGCGCCACGGGACCAATCGCATGCCCCGAACATGAAGGTTAATGCCTATAGCATTAACACGGCCCCGCAGCACCCTACCTCAGTACCGCAGCACGAGGGGAGTTGATCACAACCAACCCTTGGAGAACCGCTGACGAACTCAACGTCGGACCACGATCCGACACACCGCTGACGCGCCCAGTCGGTGGACCGTGATCCCCTTTACAAGGGGGGACTTACGACCCTACACACCGTTGGTGCGCACAATCGGCGGGCCGTAGCGGATCAAGCCCGACACACCACTGAGCTGAACTCAGTCGGTGGGCAAAGATCCTCGGAGACTACGGTCCTGCATACCGATGTCCCACCACTCGGTGGATCGCAGCCAGTCGTAGCCCTACACACCGCCTGATTACTCAGGTCGGTGGACTACAACCTTCCTCGGCTTGTTGGCCCCATACCGCCTGGCACATCCCGGTCGGTGGGTCATATCACCGAGGCCCATGTGGACCTTCAGTCCTATACATAATCTTTATATACCTGACCGGTCTCAACCAGCCTGGTTAACAATTGGGATGGTTCTCAACCCATTCAACTGCCCGTATAGTGGACCTCAGTCCTATATCATATCAATATCCCTGACCGATCTTAACCGGCCTAGTTAACAGTTGGGATGGTTCTCAGCCCATTCAACTGCCTGTATAGCCCAATTGGTCTTAACCAAGTTGGGGTCATGCATCACGTAACACACAATAGCACATAATGACACATTGTTCACATAGGGAAGGGGGAACATATATTTAAGCTTACATGTGATCATTCACATTCTAAGAATAGTTCCTAAGGGCTCATATAACTTCCACCTAGGTCCACGGGTTACCAATTCAACTAGCATGCAATTCCTAAGACTCGTTTAACCTACGAATGGTACCCGAAATTCCAGACTAGACTCAGGCATGACAAACGGGGTCCGTTGGGACACCATGGGGAACGGGGAACATCAAACGGGGAAGCCGGGGACCTGAGGTGGGGTGTGGACCAGCGGGTAGCAGGTGGGTGGGGGTCACCCGCCGGCTGCCCGCCAGTGGGCGCTGTTTCGGGCAGCGGGTAGCCGGCTGCCCGGTGGCTGCCCGGTAGGTGGTGGGTTCCCCCACCCCCCACCTACCCCCCACTGACTCATTCATCACAAATTCGTCCCGGGATCCTTTGTGGAACCCGAAACCATGCTTAGACACTTTTAAACGCAAATAACGACATCACATAAGCAATTAATGGATCAAAAGCAATAATCATGTAGGACTTATCCTATTATGACTTCTAAATATAAACAACACCCGAACATTCGAATTCCCACCCAAATATAAATCAAGAACATCCTCAATACAAATTCCCAATCCAACCTAGGGCTCTAATCCCACCCAAATCATCAAGAATATATTTTATTCTTAACATCAAGAAAATATCAAGATTCGTCAAGAATCATCATATCATAATCAAGAACTTCTTTTTAACATCAAGGTCATCAAGATTCCCAAGAAAGCATATAAATCATCTTATCAATCATAATTATCATAGAAGAAATCAATCAAGACACAAGAATATAGAGGGAGGCCAAGGAAAGAGATTATAGCGAAGAAAATAGGTTTTGTTGAGACATGGGTTACCTCTTAGCCTTAATTAATTTCCTTGGCTATGAAGGGTCTTTCTTTAAGATTTCTCCTTTCTTGATTTCTACTACGGGAGTTCTTGGAACTTTCTTGTGTGGTGAGGGATTATTTGTGGTCTGTGTTCTAGGTGCCTTCTATGTCCCTATTTATATAATTAAGAGTCCTAATTATGGTCTAAGTGGCATGGGTTTACTAATTCTATTCCTTATAGGACTAAGGGGTTGGCTTTAGGGATAAGGGCCCATGGACCATGGTGGACCATATTAATTAATTAAAGAGAATCCTAACCATAATCTGAATAGTAAAGGTATACTTTCTTTATTCCTAATAGGCTTATGACTCTAGTTTAGGCAAGGGTCCATGATCCGTGGTGGACCACGTTTAATTAATTAAAGGGATTTCTAATCAAATTAAATCCTTTTTAACTATTATTAATGGAATTAATTAAATAATTAATTCGGGATTAAGGGCCGTAACACGGGGTGTTACACGTAGCTTGAACCCTGGCTTGAACCGTAGCTTGTTCCTCTTCATCAATAAAATTTCCAATTGTAACTTCATTAGTGTCCATTACAGGTTTTATAACTAAGACTGGAATTCCACCAAGACTTTCCACAGATTCAATAATCTGAATCATAGCATGAGAGTGACCAGGAATTAATTCATCATGGTTGACAATTGATTCATCAGCACGAGTTTTAGTCACATACAAACCTGGATCTTCTGGAGCTGTAACCTGTTCATTATTCACATCGACATCATGAACAATAAATTGACTTTCCCCCTGAATATGTGCATTCCCCAGTTGAGAGCTAGAGGTTGCACCGGGATGATGATGAATTTCTGCTAGGGATCTATGAATGCCGTCCTTCAAATGAGCTTGTTCAATTTCCTCCAATTGCTCAATAGATAGTGCTTAGAAACTGTCCTCCATGGCTGGAAATTTTTCGTTGGATCTTGCTAGCTTGGCTTGGATTTTACTAGAATAAACTTGATCAATTGTTGCCAACAAGAGAGCTTCTTCTATGTCTGTTGTTCCTAACCATGAAAGTGTAAATAATTCCTCTTTCTCCATCTCAGGACCGACACGTGAAACGTGAGATTTGTACGCGGCTATCCTCCATGATCTCCATTCTTTGACCCTGAACAACTCTACTGCTAGAACGGGATCCCCATCTAGAAATGTGACGATGATGTTTTTCGCTCTCGTGTGATAGGTGAATTGTGTTGGGATGAATCCCGGATTATGTCGTTCTCAAGGGATGGCCTCTCAAAGTTACCCCTAAGTTGCTAATTTTGGG